TGCTAGGTTAGTGGTCATGGTGGTGCTTATTGACAAAAGACCTCAAGAGAGCTGTCTGGCTGCTAGAATCAATCTTCTATAACTTAATCTGGGCGGTGGTTACACAGGTATATATATATATATGGTATATATATATATATATATATATATACACACACACACACAAAATAACCAATCTGTGCCTTGAGATCTATATATTTTATCATGTTCTACCTTAAGAAAAAAAGCCTAGAAAATCAAAACAAAAAACAGTCACCAGAGTAGATGTTCTTGCAGGGAAGAGTAGAAGAGAATGTCTGAGAAGTGTAAAGTTGTAGAAGATCTTGAATGGCAGTAGAGTGGCAGAAGTTTGGATGGTGTCCTATAAGTCTGGTAGGTTTGAGGGAGGGAAATGACAAAATGGAAGCAGAGATGTGCCTGGTAGTCTGAGGACTGGTCTACAAGTGGAGACCGTTGCAGTGGGACCTGGATGCCGGTGATACTGTTGAAAGTGGAAACTCAGAAGAAAGAAGAATTAGTAAGGCTAGTCACTGGTTGGGCAAGGACAGCAAAGGATGACAGGGCAAAGATGACTGAGATTCATTGCTAGATGGCTGGAAAAATGATGGCTCTAATAACAGAATTAAGAAAGCCAGGAGAAAAGAATCAGTTTGGGAAGAGATGAATGGTTTTTTACATGCTTTAATTTTGAAATGGTGACAAGCAGTTGTGAGACTCAGGAGAACAATTAGGGCTGGTGATCAAAATCTGAAAGTCACCCATATACAGATTATGTTGAGTAGATGAGATCCCTAAAAGAGTGTTGCAGAAAGAGTGCAGAAGGCCAGCCCTTAGAGAAGAAGAGACTGTAGTTGTAGATAGAACCAGGATAACATAGAACGGAATGAGGATCTTAAGCCATATGGAGAGAGAGCAGGGCAGGAGATATAAAGGGAGAAGATACAGAAGTAGGAAAGGAAAAGTAAAGATTGAGACTGTGAGGGGGAGCTGGGATCTTGAGGGACCATGGTCTTGGAGAAGGCGGGAGGAAACAGGATCTGGAAACAAAGGCAGAGGACTTAGCCTTGGTCAGCTTGACCTTTGAAGAACGCAGGGGTGTACAGTCAGGTCACAGGCTTTGTCAGCATCTTCAGTCACTGCCTCTTGCAGTATATTCATTTTTTTCAATTGGAGCATAGTTGATGCGGAGTGTTACATTAGTTTCAGGTGTATAGCATAGTGACTGGACAAGTCTAACCTGTGCTCACCATGAGTGTAGTTACCATCTGTCACCATACAACACTATGACCATACCATTGACCTTATTCCCTATGCTGTGCCTTTCATCCCCGTGATGTATTCATTCCATAACTGGAAGCCTATATCTCATCCTCCCCTTTATCCACTTTGCCCATCCCCCCATTGCTCCTCCCTTGCCAACCATCAGTTTGTTCTCTGTGTTTATGGTCTATTTCTGCTGTTTATTTGTTTGTTTTAGATTCTACATATAAGTGAAATCATATGGTATTTGTCTTTTTCTGACTTATCTCACTTAGCATTAAGCCCTCTAGGTCTATCTGTGTTGTTGCAAATGGCAAGATGTCATTCTTTTTTATGGCTGAGTAATATTCCAGTGTGTGTGTGTGTGTGTGTGTGTGTATGTGTATACCACAACTTCTCTATCCATTCATCTTTCTTTAAAAAAAACTTTTTTAAGATTTTTATTTATTTGACAGAGAGACAGCGAGAGAGAGAATACAAGCAGGGGGAGTGGGAGAGGGAGAAGCAGGCTTCCCGCTGAGCAGGGAGCCCGATGTGGGGCTCGATCCCAGGACCCTGGGATCATGATCTGAGCTAAAGGCGGACACTTAACGACTGAGCCACCCAGGTGCCCCATCCATTCATCTTTCGATGGATACTTGGGTTGCTTCCATGTGGAAACAACTCTTGCAGTATTCTTTGTCCTCTAAATAGGAACTGAGGGTGACCCAGGGTCGAGGATGAGCGTGACTGTGAGAGCCAAGAGGTCCCAGGTATTTGAACTAATTATGGGTTTCAAGCATAATCCTATCATTTGTGAAAGGGATACAGAAGTAGTTTAAGGCACCACGCTTGCCCTCTGGGAATTTATAGGATACAATTCAACAATGACTAAGAGCCAAAACAAGGGCAAATAGGATGTTTTGAATCCTGATTTGTCATTTTGAGCTGTGTAACTTTGGTCAGGCTGTATTATGTCTCTGTGTCTCTGTTTTCTCTTCCTTTTTAAGAAAAAAGGAAGAATAATGATACCTCATATGTTGTCCTGGGGATTAAATGAGTTAATAGAAGCAAGGTGCTTGGAACAGTGCCTGAAACATAGTAAGTGGTAGATAAACGTTAGCTAAGATCATGATAAATTAGTAAAGGCTGCAGCTGGTGGGAAGGTTGTGTGGAGGAGTGGGCATTTACTGGAGACAATTCAGAGATAGAGAAGAGGAAAGGAATGAGAGAAAAGGAATTCTAGCCTGAGGAAAACGTTCTGAATAAAGTCTTAGATCAGCAAAACTATTGGCATTTGCTTATGATTTACTTGATGATCCAGACTGTTCCTGCTGGGAGTAGTGGGAATTAGAGTAGGACAGGAGGGTGGGTGACTGGCACTGGTCACAAGAAGAGAAATATGAGTTGGAGAGTCAGAGCACTTTGGTTGTGATTTTTATCCTGGCCCTGTGACCTTGAGCAAGTTGTCCAATCTCTTAGGACCCCAAGTTTCCTAATCTATAAAATGAAATGGACTGTATCTGTAAAATCCCTTGGTTCTCAAAAATTCTGTGCTTCATATGTGAAAATCATTTCTTGGACCCCACGGTCTGTGGAACAGTGGGTTTTTTCCAGCGCAGCGTGGAGCTCTCTGGTCTTTGTGGGGGCCGAATTGTGGTGCCGGCATCATTAGTCCCATGCTGGAAGGGAGTGAGCTGACCAGCCCACACAGAGACACTGCACACTTGCCTCTGCAACACTTAGCAGTCACTACCGCTAGAGAAACCTGGGGTCTCTGAGGGTGCGTTTATGAAAGGAGCCCTTGGGTATTGCACTCTCAAATTATTTAGAGTTAACTCTACTACTGTTCTCTTGAGGAGCCTTGAGTTTTATGGATACTTGCCTTGAAGTGGACCCTGAGGGCTAAGTAGGAGGGAAAGAACAATCTTTATCCTTTTAAAAAAAATTTCCCAGATTGTCTTTGTGGAGCTCACAGAACTAACGGCAAAAGCAGCACCATGAGCACCAGATGAAGTGCTGGTAAAGCCCTAAAGCTTTCATGGTAAGACTCACCTGCTTGGGTCCTTTTGTGACAGGCACCAAACACTGTTGTTTTTGATGTTAGGGATTCCCCTGTTTCAAGGTGTGTTTTGTTTAAAGAATTTATTTATTTATTGAGAGAGAGAAAGAGAGAGAGAGAGTGTGTGTATGTGTGGGTGGGTGTTTTTGCTGGGGAGAGGCAGAGGAAGACAGGGAGAGAGAGAATCTCAGGCAGACTCCGTGCTGAGCGCGGAGCCCGACAGGAGGCTCAATCTCAGGACCCTGAGATCATGACCTGAGCTGAAATCAAGAGGTGGCCTCTTTTTTCTTTTTCTTTCTTTTTTTTTTTTTAAGATTTTGTTTATCTGACAGAGAGAGACAGTGAGAGCAGGAACACAGCAGGGGGAGTGGGAGAGGGAGAAGCAGGCTTCCCGCAGAGCAGGGAGCCCGATGTGGGGCTCGATCCCAGGACCCCGGGATCATGACCTGAGCCAAAGGTAGACGCTTAATGACTGAGCCTCCCAGGTGCCCCTCAAGGCATGTTTTAAATAACCCAGGATTCTGTATGAACATGGAAATGGGCTTTTCAAATCCCATGCTTAGAAGTCATTGGCTCTAGTATGGCCCTACTTCATTTTTCCTTTTAGAAGCGAAGTTTGGTTTGTTGTTCTGTTCTCACTGTGTCCTTCCTGGTTTGAGCCCCTCTGGGCTGCAGGCGGGACTCTCTGCCATCCTTCACCCTGCGGTGGGCACTGCAGTGCTGTTGCTTCAGAAGTTCTCAGAGATTCCTCTGCCATTTGCTTCCCCCTGCCCCACCCCCAGTTGTCCCTGGCGGGATCTTAGTCATCAAAGAGGTACTTCTGGACTCTGTACCAGATGGACTTTACACATCTTGGTGAATTGAAAAATAATTTGAAATGGAAGAGCCAAAGTAGATGGAAGCTCTTTTATCTATATTTTGTGCCTCCAAAGTTTGGTGTTTTCTGAAACTGAAATTTGAAAAGAGTGACGGTTTGCCCTTGTGTTGTATTTGGAAGGAAAAGTATTTCTTTTTTTTTAAGATTTTATTTATTTATTTGACAGAGAGAGACACAGCGAGAGAGGGAACACAAGCAGGGGGAGTGGGAGAGGGAGAAGCAGGCTTCCCGCAGAGGGGAGAGCCCAATGCGGGGCTCGATCCCAGGACCCCGGGATCATGACCTGAGCCGAAGGCAGATGCTTAACGACTGAGCCACCCAAGCGCCCCGGAAGGAAGAGTATTTCTTTAGGGAATAGAGTTCCAGGAAAGGAAGGTGACTAGGGCATATAAGGATTCCAAAGCCAACATGTGCCCCTAGGTAATGTTAAATATGCCTTATTAGTTAGAATAGAAGTTCCTTGAGGGAAATGGAATGCATCTTTGTAGTTGTATGTGGTTGGAAACGGTGAGTGGTGTGTAAGTAAGTAAGAAAAGCTAGCAATTCAGGAGCCTCCCATCTTTCCATCTCCCTGGCTACCCATTCCCCTGAGGGCTGGTGATGGGCCTCACCTAGCCCGTTCCCGCCACAGATTTTCTGAAGAGAAAAATAACCATGTCACGGAAACAACTGGGTGTTGCTGAGGTTATGAACAAAGGGTGAGAGTGAGATGGTTTGGTCTGGCCTCTTTTCAGAGCGGCGATTGATTACTGCTGTCTGTGTTGCCTTTTCTTCCAGAGCTGACCTGTCCCGGACGCAGCATAACTAACGAAGCTGCTGCAGGATGAGAAGATGGCAGCGCGGCTGCTCGCACCACCAGGCCCTGATAGTTTCAAGCCTTTCACCCCTGAGTCGCTGGCAAACATCGAGAGGCGCATTGCTGAGAGCAAGCTCAAGAAACCACCCAAGGCCGAAGGCAGTCATCGGGAAGACGATGAGGACAGCAAGCCCAAGCCAAACAGTGACCTGGAGGCAGGGAAGAGTCTGCCTTTCATCTATGGGGACATCCCACAAGGCCTGGTCGCAGTTCCCCTGGAGGACTTTGACCCATACTATTTGACGCAGAAAGTGAGTTGGAGGAGGAGGCGGCCCAGCTTCAGACCCCCTTTCCTCACAGGCTTTGGGGGAGACAGGGGAGAAAGAACTGTCCCTTTGCCTAAGTTTGGATAAGTAGTTCACCTTTTGTTTCAGTTCTGGTTAATGGGTTTATTTTTCAGTTTAATTGCTTCTCAGGGTCATTTGTGGGTCTTGACACTTCTCGACTCTGTTAATAAGACTTCCGTTTTTGGCTCCAGGCCAAATCAGAAAAAGATGAAAACAAATTAAAAACAAAAACAAAAGAGCATAAATGCAATGGGACTATTTAATAGAGTCCAGGAAAGATGGCATAGTGAAAGATGATATAGCCGGGTAGACTCTCTCTCCCACACACATTCAAAATTCTATCTTTAGATATAAAGATGATGTAACTATTACAATATCAACAAAGCCTGTTGTTAGTATAAAGGAGATGATGGATTTGTACTCTATCTGAACTTTCTCTGTCCCTTGGTGACATTAGATCATAGCTGTTGAAGACAGGAATAGAATAAAGTAAACCAAACCGGGCCAGAGGACACGGGTCTTTGGCCTTGTTACTCGGGTGTGTGGGTTGAGCCACCACTCATTCTTCCATTAGAGTCCATTCTGTTATTCCTGCCGGTAAGAAGCACAAGTGAAATAAATGCTAGTCTTCATTTGGCCAAGAGTTTCAAACTCCTCTAACAAATATTTGACCAAACCGTGGGTTTCTTTCTCATGATTATCTTTTGAAACGAGGCAACAGGTGGAGAAACAAAGCCCCCTGGTTAATCCACCAGCCAACTAATGAGCCACTGCATACTGAGGAATGACATCAGACACCATTTTAGGGATCCCTCATTTGATAAATGTCATTTAAAGAATTAGAGTGATAGGTGTTTCCAGGTGAGGGGAGAAAAGGCTTTGTGTAATTACATATTCACAAATATAAAGCTTATCTAAACGCTCTTTCTTAACAAAATTGCCTCATAAACTTCTCCTAACTTGTCCTTCAATCTTTTAATTTGGAAGAAATTTTAGTTTCTTGGCTTAATAATGGGACAGAAGTAAGATGAGACCAGAAGATCTCTTGACCTAGCTATAGTTGTGGAGTCATTTTTGGCTCAGGATGGCAAAAGCAGTTAAGACATTGTCTACACTTCTGTTGCAGCTGAAAAATATAGAAAGTTTCAGAAACAAAGCATGATATGATAGAAATAACAGTAGACTAGAAGTAAACACTCCTAACTCTACCATAATTCACCATGTTTATTATCTGTATTTCTCTTTTCTCTTTTGTGTATTGTTCAAGCTACCACAGATAGATTACAGGAAAAGAAAGTTGTAAATAAAGAAAAAACTTGTAAAAAACTAGTTCATGTCCGTTAGCAAGACATGTCACCTCTCTGGGCCTAAATTTTCTCATCTAGAACTGAGAAGTTGGACAGAATTTCTAAGGACTTTTTCACACATCAAGTTCTGGAACTGAGTAGTTTTCATAAATTTTCATTGATTTCCTCATTTACTCTTCCCTTTTTAAAGTCTAACTTTGTAATCTGGGCCTTTGCCGAGTGGGGTAAATGGGGGAAAGAGGAGGCAGGCTGTAACGTTCTGGGTTAGTGAATAAGGAAACATGGAATCTTGGGCTATTTTTAGAAAAAAATCTCATTCGTTGTAAAATTTTGAAATATTTTTAGAAATGTTTTCTTGCTCTTTCCTACCCTTATGTCCATGATCTTAGAAGAGGTACAAAGCAATGACAAATCACAGGGTTTAGGTTGTGCCTATTTAGGTGAGTTGGCCAATGATACAACTTTTTCAGAAAGTACTCTTACGGCAATAAGAAGATTGCCTTGGACCCTGACCTTTCAGGTTACTAAAACCTCTTTGCTTTTATTTTAACTGTTTATTTTTCCAACTCAAATGCAAAGTAAGTCTACCTTTCTTAAACCTGACTTAATATATGAAGAATACATAGAGCTGTTTGTTGTCAGAGCCAGTTTCCCTTTGCATGCCTTTTCCCCTGGTCCTGCCCTGTAGATAGCCTCTTTTCTCCTAACGCCTCAGATTTCAGTGGCCCTGGATCGGGGGACTGAGGCCTCAGAGTGGGTGGGTCTCTAACTTTGATAGGTATCATTCCTTGGGTAGGATAGATGTTGATGGAGCTCTGTTAGGGGACTGGTTCTTCATGATAGACAGTCTGACTTCAGCCTTTGGCCTCACCACAGGGTAAATAGTTTGCGGAAAGGATAACTTTAATTGTATTTTTTTGCTCATCTTTTTTTTTTTTTTAATTGTGAAACATACCACCATGCAGAAAAGTTCATACAACATAAATGCATAGATTAATGATTATTATAAAGCAAACAAACTAACACTCGTGACAAGAAAGAACATTAGTAGCACTTCAGAAGTATCAAGGGATTTTTTTTAAAGATTTTATTTTTAAGTAATCTCAACACCCAACATGGGGCTCAAACTTACAACCCCAAAATCAAGAGTCACATGCCAGCCAGGCACCCCAAAGCAAGGGATTTTTTAGTTGATTAATAATATACTTGCTCAGGTTTATTTGCAAATCTTCACTGGCATTACTAATACTTCTTACTAACTAGGCCTTTCACTAGGCCAAATTAGCAAAGTCTCCTCTACAAGGAAGCACACTGGGAATTAACCCACAAATCAAATAATATTGAGAGTAGAAATGACTTTAAGAGGACATTCCCTTGCGTTTGTTTTTCATGAACTGCCTTAAATAATTCTTGCAAAACAGAATTTCTTTTGCTAAATGATACAAATGGATTTCTTTATCTTTTCTTTATAAGTCTCATTTTCTACCTAATTAATCATTTTTATGGTTCTCATTGAAATTGGTTTCTCATTTCCTTCCCTCTGTTTTAGAGGGTGAAAGAAAACTACTTCCCTGTCAGTAGAGTTCTGGTTTTATCCCATTGTGGATTTCATACTCTCCGGGGACACAGGGACATAAACCTGTGTGTCATATTTTCAAGATACCCTTGAACCAGCTGGGGCTGGTTTGAGCTATCATAAGCTTGAGGCCCTCAGCAATGTTGTCCATGTTGCATTTCACTCCCAGCTGGTCCCTGAAAACAGTCTAGATTATCCTCTCTCTGGATTTCTTCAGACCTCCCAGTGCTATAACATTTTCTTTGCCTCTTGGTACTTTGTTCTAATGTTTCCTTTCTTTGGCTTTCTTGTATTTCAGCTGTTGCTTGCAAATAATTGAATTTAGGGGATTTGTTTGTTTGTTTGTTTGTTTACATTAAATAAAAATAATTTGTATACCTGCATGGTTAAAAAGTCAATTGAAGATATTCAGTAAAAAGTCTCTCCTTTACACCTCTCCTTCATCTGCTCACTTCCTGTCTCCCTGAACAGGTAACCACTGTTAGGAGGGTCTTCCAAAGTTTCTTTATATATGTATTGGCAAAAACAAATAGGCATTCTAAGGAACTTGAACTCTCCTGAATGCCTTTGTTCTTAGTTTTCTTTCTGCTATTTTCTTAAGCCTGTTGAAATCTTAATTTTGTTATTTGTTTTCCCTTCTTTCATGCTTTGAAATCTTTTTTTTTTTTTAAGATTTTATTTATTTGGGAGAGAAAGAATGAGACAGAGAGAGCATGAGAGGGGGAAGGGTCAGGGGGAGAAGCAGACTCCCCGCCGACCGGGGAGTCCGATGCGGGACTCGATCCTAGGACTCCAGGATCATGACCTGAGCTGAAGGCAGTCGCTTAACCAACTGAGCCACCCAGGCGCCCCTGAAATCTTATATTTTATCCGTGTAAATTCTCAATTCATTTCTCCCCCTTCCAAGCTTTTGTAATAAATCAAATCAAGGACTTTCTATTACTTGAAAAAGTGTCTATCTCTCCAATTCTTAATAATAACTTGTTGAATTTCAAATGGCCACATATATTCCCGATAACGATCTTTTTTTTTTTTTTTTAAAGATTTTATTTATTCATTTGAGACACAGAGCATGAGCAGGGGGAGAAGCAGAGGGAGAGGGAGAAGCAGGCTCCCCACTTACCCAGGAACCCGATGTGGGGCTCGATCCCAGGACCCTGGGATCATGACCTGAGCCGAAGGCAGACACTTAATCATCTGAGCCACCCAGGTGCCCCCCGATAACTATCTTAAGTGGGGCAGCAAGAAAGTCTGTGGATTAGTTTGAAAAAGGCCTTCAGAGTTGGCTCCTACTTCTTTTCCCACTTCTTAAATTAGTAATTGATCCATGTGTCCTTTTTGTTCAGTGGGTATACCCTCTTATAAGAAAGTCTTATGAGGGGCGCCTGGGTGGTTCAGTTGGTTAAGCGACTGCCTTCGGCTCAGGTCATGATCCTGGAGTCCCAGGATCGAGTCTCATGATCCTGGAGTCCCAGGATCGAGTCCCGCATCGGGCTCCCTGCTTGGCAGGGAGTCTGCTTCTCCCTCTGACCCTCCTCCCTCTCATGCTCTCTGTTTCTCATTCTCTCTCTCTCAAATAAATAAAATCTTTTTTTAAAAAAAAGAAAGTCTTATGAACAGAAATCTAAATTATAGGATGGACCGATGTGCCTTTAAATAGGGCACATGCTATTGCATTAAAAAATTATATGTGGTTTCCCAAAGTTCACTTTACCTTCAACTCTTCATTTCTCTTTTCCTGCAAATTGAAGTCTACCTAGAATCATAGAAAATTAGAATATTGTATCCTTAGACATTAGCTAATTCAGCCTCCTCCTTTTATAAATTTAATGAGGGGAAGTACTTGTCAAAAGCCAACATTAGGGGCACCTGGGTGGCTCAGTCCATTAAGCATCTGCCTTTGGCTCAGGTCATGATCCCAGGGTCCTGGGATGGAGCTAAGAGTCAGGCTCCCTGCCCCTTCCCCAATCATGCTCTCTCTATCGCTCCCTCTCAAATAAATAAATAAAATCTTTTTTAAAAATGTATAGCCCTTCTTCAAAAAAATTTTTTTTAATTTTTAAAGCCAACACCAGTGTTCG